ACCACTCGCCATACCTGGCTGGACCCAGGCTCCTTTAGCTTTATACCATGCATACTGTGCCATGTCCTGTGAGTTCTTGGAGGTCACACTGGTTGGGGAAGGAACTGGGCCCTTCTTAGCCAGTTCTTAGCCCTGCTCCTTCCTGTCACCAGACATCAATTTCAGCCAAGTGAAGACACTATTGTGACAGGGCAGGACTGCAAGCACATGACTGGCAGTGGCAACGGTCAGGCGGGAGTCCTCCTGTGCACTGTTCCACTGATGCTAACGGAGCATCCTTTCATTGTTGGTGGCTGCTTATTTGCTGAGATGGTGTCTTTCTGTGTAGCCCAGGCTGGCCTCATACTCATGGGAGTTCTGCCTGCTTCTGCCTCCTGAGTGCTGGGATAGCGCATATGAGTCACCAGGTCAGTGGACAGTGGTGTGTTGTGTGGTCTTAGTGTGTTTGGTGTGTTCTATGTCTTTTTGTGACTCTCTTCTTCTTTTTTGCCTTACTGTACCAAATGCACCCCCATCCTCCCCAGTGTGGTGCAGTGCTCAACAGACCCAGTGGGCGGACATCTTTTCCTTCTTCCCAGTGAAGGGCCCAAGCAGCTGTGCTGCCATGACAGGCTTCATGAGATACCTTAGGCCTGAATTTCTCTTTCCTGGTAAAGTTCCCACAGTTGCTTAGATCATGTTTTTACTTCTCAGAACATGAAACTCTAGTCCATGGAAACAACATACAATAACTCAATAACCTCCCTGAAAATCAGAAACAATAGTTTAGTAATGACCTTGAAAAGTTCCCAAGCACTTGACCAATACCTGGGCACTTTTTGTTAGCACTCTTTGTTACCTGGGCTCACCCTGTTACTTGGACACTCCATGAAGCGTCTCCCTATCTCCTTGATCAGCACCAACCAACCAGTTTGTGACAATCTTACTTTTGCTGAACACAAACCAATCAGGTAGCTGAAAGTCCCATTCCTCACTCAAACCACAATAAAAACCTGGCTCTGCAGCTACTCCCCTCCCTAATCCACTGCAGTGGATGGCGGGGAGTCTGAGCTTAAGCCCATAATAAAGGCTCTTTGTTCTCGCATATGTAGTCAGTCTCCTGGTGGTCTTTGGGGATACTGAGATCTGTGCGTAACACCAGCAGGGGCATTCAGTTTTTCAGCCTCAGGCATGACAGTGACTGTGGTTTATAGTTCAAGTTGAGCTTAGATCTCAAATTTCTGATTGATTGATTGATTGATTGATTGATTTGCCAAGAATGAATCTGAATGGTTTTTCCTGGTTGGTTTGATTACATCTGAGATATATTACACTTTTTTCTTTTAAAATTTGTTAATGTGCTGTAATACATGTGGGTTGAATTCTTAGTGTAAAAATCAACCTTTCATTCCTGTAATAAAGCCAACTTGGTTATGGTTTACTTTCTGATTTACATCCTTATCTTCTTGTTTATCATAAAATCTATCAGCGTTTTGCTAAGAGGTTCCATGTCTATGTTCAGGAGAGTCACTGGGCTCTACTCTTCCTTTCCAGTGGTGGGGTTACAGCCTTTGGTACTAGAACAGATATGGCTCCGGGGGTAAATTCAGCATTTCCCCATGCAGGAACTCCTGTTAGTCTTTGTTCTGGGCAGAACTGTGTTCCCTCAAAATTCTCATGGTGAAGCCTCTTGAGCTAAGCCCCGGGCCTCAGAATGTGTCTGTATTTCCACAGAGTGCCTTCACAGGGGAGATGAAATGAAGACGAGAGTGGACCCTAACCTACTAGATTGTCCTTAAAAACAAAAGGCCTAAAGTCACCCCCACGGTGTCTCATTGCATCCATCTTTGGAAGCAGCTTAGGTCTGTATCCGGGGTTGCTATCCCACAAGTGGAATTTCTGGGCCGACCAGTTTCTTATTCATCATTGAGCTCTTGGAAGGAGAAGGTGGGAGTGGAGGAGCCTGACATTCCCTGGGAGGATCGTGCTGCGGGGCACAAGGTGGCTTTCTGGGGTCCCAGCTCCTGAAGGCTGGGAGCTGCATCACCTCCTGGATGCAAATAGGGAAGCAGAACTAGAACCCAGCTCCCTGCAGACACATGACAGCAATACCGGCCTTCCCACTGCCAGACTGAGTGGTAGAGTGAGCCGTTGTCACACAGGGAAACCCTGCGGCCCTGAGAAAACAAGGGGCCATGCTTTCCAAAATCCCCTATCTGTGTCAGGATCCACAAACCAAAACATACAGGTCCCTGCAGAGGAAACACACACTAGAGCCTGTGACTGGAGGCTGTGAGGAACTTCCTCAGGAGGGGAGTGACCTCTCCACAGACAGGAAACTGGATAGAAGAGGGGTAGGGGACAATGAATGACACCCAGTACATGCCCATTGGCTTGGGACAGGCAGAAGAAGTCTGAAAGCCCCGAGGAGGAAGAAAGTCTTCAGGGGACCCTTGTCAACAGGATTGGAAACACTGGCTAAGGAGAGATGAGGGAATCACCTGGAGTACCAGTGTCCTTCAGGACATTTTCCTCATCATCCCCAACCCCCACACCCCATCCCAATTCACTCCAGACCCTTGTCACAATCCAGGTGGAGAGAAGTTGAGGGAACACAAAATCAGGAGGATCCAGTAAGGGCAGGGGTTCTGGCTAAACTGACTAGCTTTTTCTGAAGAAATCGGGGTAATCGGCATTACCCCAGGGGATGGCAGAGGCTGAGGAGCTTCTCAGAGATGGGAGCTGCCAGTGAGGAGTGACAGAGATTCCAGCTAAACCATCTTAACAGGATGGTAGCTAGAAGTGGACACTGCGGATACCCACAAAGAAGCCTAAGTCTTTAAAACAGAGTCCTGTGCACGCTTCATAGTACGAGCGCTTGGCATTGGCAATTATAATCCTTATTCCTAGAAGAAGGGCCTCAGTACTCCGACTTCACATCTGAGGGATAGGGGGAGGGGGATGGCACAAAACAGGGAAGGAAGCTGGCTGGCCAAGGTCTCAGCCTGGAGATGGAGGACTGGCCCCTGCTCAGTCTGCTCAGGCAGCTCCCAGATCTCAGCCCCTCCCTACTTTCCTGACCCCACACAGTACACAGTAGTGACAGAACCAGCCACACACACCACACACCCTAAAAACAAGCAAGTGATGCCAACATCCAGCCTCACAGGCCCTCCACCAGAGGCAATGGTGGATTCAGGGCATCGCTGGTGATTTTCAAAGACATTTGGGAGGGTGACAATTCAGGAAAGAGGGCTGTTGCAGGGCCAGGCGTGCTGTTTGAAACCCTGGGGTGTACAGCCAGCCTCACTGAGTGTGGTCTCTATCCACTAGGACAGAGCAGGTGAGTGAGCTGGGGCCTTTCGGACAGATGCAAGTGCCTGAGCCCCTCCGGTCTCAGTCTGGGGAAATGGCCACCAACATGTTTACGGATGACTGAAGCCCCCTTCAGATGTGAGCGGGAGTTCTGTCCATCTAGACAGGGGACAGGTATGTGTCCACAAAAGCCCCCTCCCCAACAAGAATCTCCTTCCCTGGGCCAGACTTGGGCTTCTTTGTGGGTATCCGCAGTGTCCACTTCTAGCTACAGGCCTGTTAAGATGGTTCAGCTGGAATCTCTGTCACTCCTCTCTGGCAGCTCCTGTCTCTGAGAAGCTCATTAGCCTCTGCCATCCTCTGGGGTAATACCTGATTACCTCGATTTCTTCAGAAAAAGCTGTCTAGTCAGTTTAACTGGAACCTCCACCCTTACTGGGTCCTCCCAATTTTGAGTTCACTCAACTTTTCTCTACCTGGTATTATTGACTTCATTTTCTTTTTAAATAATACTTTATTTGATTTTTTTTTTTGAGACAGGGTTTCTCTGTGTAGCCCTGGCTGTCCTGGAACTCACTTTGTAGGCCAGGCTGGCCTTGAACTCAGAGATCCACCTGCCTCTGCCTCTAGAGTGCTGGGATTAAAGGCATACACTAGCATGTCTTGCTTTTGTAGGGTGGGTATTTTGATTTTTAAAATATTATATTTTTATTTTATGTGTATGTGCCTGAGGGCATGTAGGTGTATTGCATGCTTGCAGAAACCTGCAAAGGTCAGAAGAGCCATTGGATCCCCAAACTGGAGTTACCGATGGTTGTGAGCCACCATGTGGGTGCTGGAAACTGACCCTGTGTCCTTTGCAAGGACAATAAGTACTTTTTACTGCTAAGCCATCTATCCAGCTTCCATTTATTTTTATTTTATGACTGCTTTGTCTGTGTGTATGTACCACTTGCATGCCTGGTAACTGAGGAAGCAGCATAAGGCACCGGATCCCATGAAACTGGAGTTACAGGCTGCTGTGAGCTGCAATGTGCATTCTGGGAACTGAACCCAGGTCCTCCGCAAGAGCACCAAGTGCTCTTCACCACTGGGGCAACACTCCACCCCCATTCTTTCTCATTCTCTTTTGAGACAGGGTCTTATATTGGCCCTGTCTTGCTATGTAGCTAAGGAGGGATTTGAACTCCTGCTCCTCCTGCCTCCATCTCCCAAGTGCCAGGATTTCACAGGCGTGTGCCACCACACCTGGGTTCCTGCTGTGGCTGAATACAGACCCTTGTGCCCTCTGGGAACTTAGCCTTCTTGGCCTTGTATATGGAAGGGAGTCCAAACTCTCTTGTTCATGGCAAGGCCCTGGTGTGGGAAGGTCCCTTGAAGAAAGGGCCTGTTGCTTTCCTTTGACAGCAGTGTTGCTGGGTGGGCATTTTCCTTAACATCGTCCAGCTGGGGATGGAGAGAGCTTCAGCACAGGTGAGGCTGCAGGTGCAGGGGGCGGGGCTAATTCTTGGTGGCTGCACCCCACTCCCAAGCCCAAGGGGGTGGGCAGGCTGACATGGGTGGGGACTTTACCAGCCAGGTGTGGGAAGGGCAGTGGGAGGGAAGAGGCGGAGCCAGCTTTTTTCTAGGACATCTGTCACCTGCCTCCTGCCCAGGGGCATTGCCCCAGCATTACCCTGCTAGTGTGCGTGGCAGCGTGAAGCTGGGGCCTGCTCCCCAGAGACTACCGGGCACATCAAGGACCTCTCAAGCTCTATGTCGTTGGCCTTCCAAAATCCAAAGCATGGCAGATGGGGAGCAGGCCAACCCCAAAGGGTTCAAGAAGAAGGTGCTGGTTAAACACTCCACTAGACAGAAGAGCCCAAGCTTCGGGGCCTCTTCTTTCAAAATCTCCAGGTAGGTGCTTGCTGCCCTGGAATGGACCACTCCATGGAGAGGGGCAGGGAGGGTAAGGGATCTACCCCTAGAGTCAGTTCTCCTGGAAGGAGAGCTCTGAGTTTCTGAATGCTGAGCAGAGGTGTGTCGCCTGCATTCTAGTGCAAGAAGAACCTTTGGGGCCATTTATTCAACTTCATCCTGTTCTTGAAGCCCAGAGAGGCTGAGAGATCTGCCTGTGCTCACTCAGCATTTGCAGAGCTGAAACAAGAAACCAATGACCCAATGACTCGGGTCCTGGGACTCCTTGGAGTATGGATTTGAGAGAGCTGTCTCTGGTGTGGGACAATGGCTTCCCATCTTGGAGCTGAGAGTTGGGGAGAAATTGGTTCTGGTGGCTCTGCCACCCCGGGGTGTGGTCCTCCCAGGATGCAGGCCAGGTGGGGAGGTGCCGACCACAGGGCTGGGTGACAGCAAGTAGGGCAAGAGAAAGCATGGGTGACGCCTTGCCTGAGACCCAACTACAGGCAGCTGGAGAGGAGCATGGGCGGTGGCTTAGGTGAGACTGGCTACAGGCAGCTGGAGAGGAGAGTGCAAACTGGGTTTTCTGTCTCTCTCAGGTCCAGCCTGAATATGAAGAAATTCTTTGCCCTCGCAGTCCTGGCCGGCAGTGGTGAGCAGGACTCCCAGGAGACCTTTCTGATTACCCGTTCCCCCAGCCTTTTCTTAGAAATGTGTTGCTCTGCTGGCAGGCTGCTTCTTCCTCTCCCTGGACCTCCACTTCCCTGTCAGGCTCCATCCTCTCCTCTGGGGCTGTTTAGTTCTGGACACCTGTAAACAAGCCAAGAGCCTTGTTTAACAAGCTCTGCTGGGCAGGTGTGGAGAGCTGAGCAAGCCTTGTAAACTGGCAGTGTTTGCCATCATTTTTGTGGGCCTGAACATATGCATTAGTGACTTTCCATGCTGGCAGCAGTTAATGAGTTTGTGTGCAGCTAGATGCATGTCTGTGCATGAATGTAGGTGTGTCTGAGCACATAAGATGTCTGTATGCCCCACACTTCAGTAAAATATGGCTCATGGCTGGCACCTGGGTGTTCGTCTGTGTTCATTGTGATGTGTGTGTCCCCATTGTGTCAGTGATTGTAGGGGGCATAGCTGTGTGTGTGTGTGTGTGTGTGTGTGAAAGAGAGAGAGAGAGAGAGAGAGAGATGGAGAGAGTAAGGGAGTGTGTGTCTATCATGTGCATATTCATATGTTTCTTACTTTCACCCTGTGAGAGCTGACAGTTGGGGACCAGGAGCCTGGTGCTACCTATATCCTACCCCCAGGGTAAAATGCCTGTAGCTAGAGTAGGAGATAGAGCTTCCAAGCCAGTCAAGGAGGCAGCTAGGGCCTCACAGCAGCAACCAGGTCTTCAAGGCCCTCTGGGGTCCATCCATCTTCCAGCTTTCCCATCCCAAACTTCCTGCCTCTTGGAACATTTCCTTGTCCATGTAGAGAGGAGGTTGGAGGATGTGAGGAGGGCAAGGGGCATGTACTGGTACTGAGCTGGGTACCTAACTCCGGGTGCAACTGGAGCAGGCCAGAGTGGAGGCGGCATGCGCACAGGCTCTACACTGTCTGCCTTCGCATCCAGGACAACAGAGCAGGTTCCTGCCTGACCTCTGCGGCTCCCAGCCTGTGCCATCTAGGCAAAGGCTTTTACTTTCTGAGCCTTTGTTTTCTCATCCTGCAAATGGGGATAAAACATCCCTCCTGCTGGCGGGTGGGTGAGTGGCCCCAGACTCACGGCACTGAGTTAGCAGAGATGGCTCAGTAAGCCCGGCACCCTACAGGGGACCACACTCGAGGGAAGCAGTTCACATAAGGAAGGATGAAGGGCTGGAAGCCCTGGCCACTGCTAGGGAGATGATTTTTGCTGGTGACAGAAGGGCCTTTGCATTGCTTCTTCTGGATGTGCACTCGAGAATGCTAGCAGGGACCCTGGCTCCGCTTGAGCCACAGAGACACTGGCCAAAGGTCAGAAAGGGAGAGCAAAGACGTAGAATCAAATTTATGACAGTATGTGGCATTTGGGAAACCCTCTCTGACACTCAGGATGTCCTCTTGGGGGAATGGTCTGATCTCATTAAGTTGCCCAGGCTGGCCTTGAACCCAGCCTGTAGCCCAGGCAGCCTTTGCATGTTCAATCCTTCTGCCTCAGACTGTTTCCTGAGTATCTGTGATGTGCACCACCAGACACGGCCGAAACATAATTCTGACTTTCAGTATTTTCAAGTTACTCTGAGTTTATCAGGACTCGGCCACGTCAGAAGCCTTGCCTCTGAGGTGGAGGGTGTGGCTGAAGTACCCCTCCCTGCCTGGGTTCTCCAACACCATGTGACAGTGTGACCCTAGGCCAGTTACTCAGGGCTCCAGCCTCAATTTGCTTATCTGTAAAAACGTGACAACAAAACGGTGGTTGCAGTGAATACCCAGTGAGTTAACTTAGGATGCTGTCTGGCCTGAAGCTAATATGAACCATATTTGGTCTCTGGCTGTAGGGCTGGAGTGGGTAACACCCCAGTCTACAGGATTTGTTTCTTTCTCTCCCATCCCTACCGTCTCATCCTTTCCTCCCTCCTACTTTTTCCCATCTCATTCCCCGGGTCTCAGCTCTAAGGAGCGACCAGGCTAGACTTACACTCCCAGCTCTCTTGCAGCTGTATCCACCGTCCACAGCAGCCTGCTCAACCTGAAGTTCATGGTGGAGGCTGTCACACACAAAAACGCCATCCTGTCCTTCGTGGGCTACGGCTGCTACTGCGGGCTGGGGGGACGCGGCCATCCCATGGATGAAGTAGACTGGTAGGTTCTGGAGGCCTCCTGTGGGGATGGATGGGGGCAGCTGATGGACAGGCTGAGGAGGAAGGGCCAGGAGCTCCAGCTCTGACGTCTCAGATGCTTTCTACCACATTTCAACCTCTTCGCTCTAGGAAAGAATGGCCTTTCATGTCCTCCTACAGACAGACAAGGATGTGCCAGTCCCACCCACCCAATTAGACCAGGCCTCCTCCCTCAGACTGAGAGACTCTGGAAGCCATGCCTTCTGTTCCCACTTTCCCGGCGGCAGCCGTGAGCACCAAGGCTGGCAGTCTTCGCTCTTAGAAGCTTCACTCTTTAAGCAGAGGAGCAAAGGACTGCTCTCTGCAGTTGCTGCCATCCTTCATCCCCACACTGCCTGCTGACCCCCTAGATCCTGTCCCCTCTCTGGCCACCCAGCACAACCAGGCAGAGCCTCTGCATGGAGTCTGAGCTACTTCACGCAGGTTTTAAGGTCATGGCTTCCTTCCCTCCCTTCCTCATGACTGGGTTGCTGGGACACCTGACTCCTGCTGCTCCACTCTGGGCTCCAAGGCAGGGAGGGAGCCCAGAGCGCTGACAATAGGACAAAGAGGAGGATCAAAGGCAAGAATTCGGGGTCCCAGTGCCTGTTCTGCTTTACTTTGTGACCTTGGGCGTGTAACTCCCCCTCTCTGGACAGCAGTCCGAAGGACTGATCATGAGGGAACGAAACTGATGATCTGAGGTCTCTGCCGGGGCTGGTGGGGCTGGGTCAGCCGCCCACACCCATCTGGTCACCTCTGCCGCCCTCAGGTGTTGTCACGCCCACGACTGCTGCTATCAGAAAGTCTTTGACCAGGGCTGCCGCCCCTACGTGGACCACTATGACCACAGGATCGAGAACGACACCGTGATTGTCTGCAGTGAGTCCCGACCCTGACACCCTGGCTTGGGAGGGGGCCTCGGGGTGAGGGTTGGGATCCAAAGGTCAATCCAGAATGCCCCATTAAGTCTGGATTTCAGACAAGCAATGAAAAACATTCGGGGGGTAAGAATATCCCAATCCCAAACGATACACACTGACACGAGGTAACTGTTGGTTTCAAATCAGTATTAGCATAAAATGAAGAATTGGAATAAGCAGCATGAATTTGGACAACAGCTACCTTCTGTTACTTGGTCCTTACCAACCACTCCCTAGGGAAGTGGAGGCTTGCCTGACTTTTCCAAAAAGAAGTCTGGGAGAATAGGTGGCAACTGTAGGGGTGGGTAAACCTATCCCTCTTTGTGTGTGTGTGTGTGTGTGCCTGCTTGCCTATATGCACACCATGTGTGTGCATGTACCCACTGAGGCCAGAAGAGGGTGTTGGATTCCCTGTCATCAGGGTTACAAGCAGTTGCGAGTCACTTGATGTGGACACTGAGAACCGAACCTGGGTCCTCTGGGAGAGTAGCCAGTACTCTTAACTGCTGGGCCATCTCTCCAGCTGCCCCACACCTCCCTTTTAGCTTCAGCTGTCCCAACTACACAATGTCCATATTAGACTTTCCCCTGTGCTAGAGTCACTCAAAAGGCTGTGGGTCCCAGCCCAGAGCAGGCCACCCTAAAGGCCAGGCTGGCACAAGGCCTACTGACGTTCAATCCTAGTTCCAAGGCCACTGGCTTCTCAGAGTCTGTCCCCCTCCCTTCCCCCCTGGTCTTGGCATCACCCATAACCCATATCTCCTTTCCACGACAGGTGAACTCAATGAGACGGAGTGTGACAAGCAGACGTGTGAGTGTGATAAGACCTTGACGATGTGCCTCAAGGAGCAGACATACAGGGACAAGTACCGAGGCTACCTCAACGTCTACTGCCAGGGCCCCACGCCCAACTGCAGCATCTACGACCCCTACCCAGAGGAAGTCACCTGTGGACATGGCTTCCAAGTGACCACTGTCTCAACCTAGCCTGACTGAGGTCTGAGAGAAGAGAGGGTGGGAGAGCCTGGCTGGGGTCTACATTTGATGTGTGGGGCCAGAGAGGTCCGAAAGCTGTCCTGGGGCTGCCTCCCAGTCCTGTAGTGAGCTCAGTACTAGAAGCCTCTGGAAGGCCGAGCTTGTCTGTGGCCATTACTTTGTCATCCTCATGCTAAGCGTCGGGGTCTTATGGAAAACACAGGACTTGCTGGGGTCTCTCCTGGATATGGAAGGAAACTCCAAGAACCTTTTGGGACCCATCACAGGCCTGGACTACACTCCACAACAGGCAGGGTGCTAGGTTGAGGCTTGGGTTCTGGGGGCCCTTGGAGTCCCACAAAATGACTCGTGGCTGTCATGCGTCATCTCTTCTGTGACCCTCTAGAGTCCCACTCACAGAGTGGGTGACCCCATCCAGTTCTCGGCTAACAGGATAGGCCCAAAGCCTGACCTCTGTTACCCAGAGTGCCTCTGGGCAGGCTCCAAGGCCTCAGGGACCCCATGTACAGAGACTGGACGAGGGTGGCCGCATGTTCACAGTTCTTGCCTCTCTGGCTGCTGCACAGAAGTAGTATGTGCCCCACTGCACCTTTATCCCACCCAAACCCAGAGGCAAACTAGGGGTACCTGGAGCTCTCTCTCTCCCTATGCAGACGAGGCCAGGTCGGACTGTGGCTGGGAAAGTGGGAAAGACACTGAGGTCTGGGTTGAAACGTGGGAGAAAAGGTCAAAGCAGGAGGCTGAGAGGAAAACTCAGCTAGGGAGGAATCAAGATTGTGAAGAAGTGGTGGGGAGATGGGGGCAAGATGTAAGGGGGCCAGGCCGGTTGCCAGACATATAGATGGGAACAGCAAGAGAAAGGATTGTGACAGGGTAGTGTAACTGAGGAGGCTGGGCCCTACGGGTGGTCTGGGGAATCTTGGGCAGAGGTGAGGGCTCCTGCCGGCAGGTCACCTTCACCACTGTCCCCAGCCTTGTGTTTCTTCAGGTGCATCTGCCCCTGTCCCCAGCCTCACCTTCCATCTCACGGTCAGCAGTATCTAGCCCTGACTCACATCTGTCTTCTGCCTTCGTCCAATGTTAACTCTGAGGGCCCATAGATGCCAGCCTCATCTGGACACTGAAGTCTCAGGCTCAGCTCGTGTGGCTACTTAGGACATTGTCACTGAGGAAAGAGAGCCAAGTTGCGTGGCTGTAGATGCAGGAAAAGATGTTTAGGCAGAAGGCGGTGTCTAGAAGGACGACACTGAGACTAAGGGGTTACCGAGTGCAAGACGAACCCTTCTCAAGCTTGCCTGGTGCTGGTTGTCATGTGACACAGTGGTCACCTATGTGCGCTGACCCAGCTTGCCTTGGCCTTGTGAGCTTCGTCACCTGCCCTCTCAGGAGCTCCGCCAACAAGCCTCCCTCCTCCTTCCTGTTCCCTTCCCCATTGGCCAGGGGCAGGGCTGGGCTGGGTGCCCAGAGAGCATCCTGCTGAGTTTTGACCTCAGGCTTGCAGGCTCCTCCTCCTCGGTATCTTCCCAGAGAGAAGGCTGGGCTAATGAGACTGCTTTTGTGGGATCTGGCTCACCCCTACCTCAGTCCCCCTCCTCCACCCGCTCCAGTCTCCACAGGATGCAACATCCCCTCCGCAGACCAATAAAAATCCTCCAGTCTTGGTTGCCACTGCTGGGTCCTTCATAGCCAAGGCCAGGGTGGACACAGGAATACATTCCTAGGCCCCCAGCTCTGGGGAAGGCAGGTTCCTTGACATCCCGCAGCTGGCACAGCTCCACCCTTTCCCTCACCCCCTGCTTAGGGGAAACTGTGGTCCTGTGACGCTAAAGACACAGGCTGAGACAATAGGGTAAGTAATGCCCAGGCCATGGGTGAGGGCACAGGGACCCACCATGCAACAACGGGATACAGTGTGGGCCCAGGATGTTCCAGGCACCAACCTTCCCTTTTGTAATGATATGCTGAGGTCCAGAGAAGGACAGCAACCATCCCAAAGTGTCCAAAGCCACAAGCTGTGCTCTGAATAATGAGAACACCATTCAACCACCCCTCCTGGTGCCCTCGCACGGGGGTACAGCAAGAAGTGGCTGAGGTCTGGACACCGTCCTCGTTCAGTGTTGTCCCTTCTGTGATAGAAACTCTGGCCTAAAGGTCACAACTTGACAGGACTGCCAGGGAAACAGCAGCTGACTTAGGTGGCAGGGTGAGAGAGAGGCAGGAGATCAGGGTCTTCCTGGCTACTAGTTCTGAGGCCAGATGCCTCAGATAGAGAGAGTGGGGAAGCCATAGGAAGCCATGGAGCAACCCATCTGGGTCCCAGGCCCCCACCCTTTCCCCCATCCAGGTTCCTTCATGGATTCATGTCTGTCTCCTCATGTGCTCAGTGTCCAGAGCCACGGGTGCTTATCCTGGTTTGATTTCTATTGCCGAGATACACGCCATGACCAACAAGCAACTTGGCAGGACAGGTTTATTTGTCTTTACACATCCCTTTTACATTTGACCACTGAGGGAAGTCAGGGGAGGGCCTTAAGCAGCACCAGAGGCAGGGAACATAGAAGAACGCAGCTCACTGGGCTGCTCCCTACAGCTTGCTCAGCTTTCTTTCTTATACAACCCTAGGCAGGGCACCACCCACAGTGGGCTGGACCCTCCCACATCAATCAGTCAAGGAAATGGCCCCCAGCACAGCTGCAGGTCAATCTGATGGAGGCAATGTCTCAGCTGAGGCGCCCTCTTCCCAAACGTAGCATGTGTAAAGTGCACAAAACTAAGGAGCCCAGAGTCCCTGAGGGCATTGGGGGAGGAGGTTCCCAAGGGAGGCGAGGCTGACCCACGTGCGCTCTGTCCTCAGTGAAGCAGCCTTTCCTCATCGTAGACCCCGGCTCATCACAAGTCTGGAAGAAGACAGATTGTACGTACCTTCTGTGTCCCCAAGGGTGGTCTCTGTTCCCCAAGAGCCAAGACCTGTGAGGGGAGGAAGGCATGTGGGACCATAGTCTTCACACATGCCCTGTGGCATGCCAATACAGAAGAGAACATTCCAAGTCTGTGGCAGTCCCAGGTGTGCCCCAGAGGTCATTAGGGTCGAGCTGGGGTCAACGGAAGAGCAGGGAAACCATGAACTTGAGAAGGGCCCCTAGCTCCCACAGTCTGTCTTCTCTGTGACTCCTGCTCAGTCTTTCCAGGCCCTGGGGCCGACTAAGGCTTGAGGAGGGTGCTGTCCTTCCTCCCTTACTGAACCTTTCTTGAGCTAGCTCCTGTCACTTGCCCTTGTCTCTGGCGTTGGGACCCTCACTCAGTTTTTTGTTTTTTTTTTTTTTTTGTTGTTGTTGTTTTTTTTTTAAAGACTGTTTTCTAGAACTTGGGCGACACCTGGTGGACAGTATGGCTTACATCTGGTGCTACTCAGTATGTCGCCAGCTCTTCTGCTATGGAACCACAGAGGAGTCCCTACCCCATACACAGATCTCACCCCAGGAGCCAATGTTCCCCTGGAGCAAAAGCACATATTACCAGCGTCTCCTCAACCATCTTGTCTCGGCCACCAATACCTCTCACTAACACCAGACCTCCAGGCAAAGACCGTGGGCAAGGTGGTAGTCCTATCAGTCCACCAGCTGGCACATGTCCCTGGGCAAGTCACCTCACCCTCTGGGTCTGCACTCTGTGGCTGGTGCGCGCAGAGCAGAGGTCTGGAAGCCCTGGCATGGGTGTTAATCAGAAGGTCCTCAAGCCAGATACGCAAACAGGAGCACAAGGGGAAGTAGTTCACGGAAGTGGATTGCCTTTGACCTTTCCCACAGAGACCTGAGAGAGCCAAAGCTGTGGCTGCAAGCCAGTCTGGTCCCTTGCACAAAAAGTTGGGGAGTTCCTGGAGGGAACTGAAGGAGGAGGGAGAGAGGTGGCAAAATGGAGGAATCTGAGGAGACTTATTTCCCAAGCCTACAGGGTCCATGCCTGACCCCGGGTTGAGCGGAGCTGGGCTGGGCTGGAGCATGGCTGTTTACTCATATTGGCCTTGACTGTGAGCACAGCCTTTCCTCCCCAGAGGATGGCACAGTGACACCAGCTGTCAGGCTCCTCAGCTGTGGCTTCCTAACAAGCAGCTGATGCTGCTAACTGTGACGAGCAAGGTTCCGGACCGAAATACCGAGGGTTCCTAGAATCAGGAAGCAGGGGTCCTGGTAAAACCAAACCAGATCTCCCTGTAAGGGCCACCATGCAAGAACAGGCTACTGGAGCAGAGGTTAGTTCCAGGATGTCAGTCAAGGATTAACTGAGCACCTACTGTATGCATATTGTACCCCAAGCTGACTTCTCTCTCCTGCCAGGCAGCCATCTGATCTGGACACTCTCCATCATTTTCTTTATAAAATGAGGAGGCTAAGGCCGAGAGAGGCCACACGAGTTATTCATTGTCTGCCAGGAATTGCTGACTCCATTGAGCCTTAACTTCAGAAAGCTTCCCGGTCCAATATCCCTCTCCTATAAGGGCAGATGAGAAGTGTCTTGGTTAATTTTGCTGTGACAAAGTTCCTGGCAAAAGCTACGGAAGGAAGGAAGGAAGGAAGGAAGGAAGGAAGGAAGGAAGGA